ATTTGTCGCGATTTCCTTTGTGCAGAGAAGGCTTCTGTCGTGTCTGGGGTGTCAGCGGAGGGGTTATTCCCGTTGTAGATAAAAAGACACCGGAAAGGCAGAGACGCCGTCACAGGCTCTGCTCCTGGAGCTGCTGCGAGCCCGGTGGGATTCGTCAGTTCGCAGGCAGCAAGCGGCAGCGGTGAGACCAGGGCTTCGACTGTCCCAGCCTTGTGAAACGGGTCGTTGTTGGCAAAACCGCCTGGGGAAGCAGTTTTGGGTGGGAAAAGTTCGAGGAGGGTCCCGCGGCACGAACTGGGTTGTTGTTGGATGGGGTGTTTGGAAGCCCAAAAGTGTGGGACCAGCGGGCAGCTGCCTGTTTGGCAATTGCTGCCTGTACTTAACACCGCGAGAGGGTGTTCCTGGGACAACCGCCATGCTCTAAGGTGCGGAATTTAGTTTGAGGTGTTACGTGGAGCACAATAATGGCACGCTGTGCTTTGGGACCTGTGTTCTGCCATCTGCAGAGCCTCCCTCCCCGCTCCGGCCCCTAATGAGATTACAACCTAAGTACCGCGCCCGATTAGCCCCAGGTTTGGCAGAAGGATTTTCCAGCACCTAAATAGGGAGCAGGGATCTATTATTTCTCATCTGACACCTTTCAGGCTAGGAAGGCGGGCCGTGCGGTGGAGGAATTGCAAAACACACAAGCCCTTGTCCGAATCTGCGTTCCCAGTTTGGTTTTTGAGGAAGAACCAGCAACATTCGGTACCTTTTGGTGCCTTAGGTGTGGGACAGTCTGTGAGCCTAAGCGTGGCGTTTCGATTTGTCTAATGAAAGACGCTTTTTGATCGCCACGCCGTGTACGCTATGGGGAATAACGCCCTGCCCCTGCCATCGAAATTCCCCCGTGCCGACCCAGAGCTTCCTGCCAGGTTTCAGGAGCTCAGCAGAAGCGGAGAGCTTGTGCTTTCTTCCCCTGCCTTGCAAAAACAAAGCTCTTGGATCTGGGAATACAGCGGGAGTGTGCACGGATCCAGATGATAGATAACTGGGTGCTGAGCACCAGTTTGTTACTGGATGTGCCTGGTGTTTTCCAGCCTCCAGAGGGGCTGAGCTGGTGGAGTCAGTCTGAGTGTGTCTCACCTCGAACAAGCCCAGCTGGTTTATTTAGGTGCTTCCAAAAGTTTGTTTTCGAGCTCACTCCGGTTATGTGTATTAATTCCTGTGCAGTGGTTAACGTGGGCTCCTTTCCCTCGAACTCGAGGAGCCATCTGGTAGCGGGGAAGGGGAGATTGCAGCGATAGGTAATGGCCATGACGGTGGCGATGCCTTTCCCAGGAGAAGGGAAGAGTGTTCTCCTTCATCAGAAAACGGACCGTTGCGATCCCGCGGGTAATCGCAAGATGTTTCGCTTCGAGCAGCCAACGCGCCCTTCTCCACCTGCTTTATCTCTCAAAGCAGCTTGGGCTGGAAAGGAGATATGGGAGCGAAAAAAAGCCATAAGTGCAGCCGAGAAGGCGGGGGGCTGTGGACAGGAGCTGGGCTGGTGGTTAACCCTTCCTGGGGGGCGAAACCAGCTTCAGCCCTCGCAGCTTTATGAGTCGCATCAGCTGGGATTTTGGATGGTGGCGGCTCGTCCCAGGACACTGGTGGGATGTTGCCATTAATTTGGGGAGCGTCCAAGGGGCTGCAGCTACACTGAAGCATAAAGAAGAAGATATTTGCTTTCCTAAATGGACTTTAAAATAGACAATACCTATAACTGTCACTTCCCTAGGTGTAGCGAGTTGAACCTTGGGGTTTTCCAGCCTTTTCCCGCATGCTGGCAACTCCTCTGCCGGGTTGGTTTTTACCTCCCGGTTGGTTTTCATCTCCCAGCTGGAGCGGAGCCCTTGCCTGTGCCACGGCACCTGGGAAAGTAAAACCTCATCCCACCTTTTGCCACCCTGATTTCTTCCAGGTCACGACGGCTGTGCTCATAAATCAGGGAGGATTTTTGTTCTCGGCGCTTTTACCTGTGAGCCCAGCGTGGGGCTGAAGCAATATTGGTTGGGCTGAACTCATTAGCGGCAAGCTGGGAGTTGGCAGCTCTGATTTATGAAGTGAAGCGACGCCGACTGAATACGCAGGGGCTGGGAGGATTTTGTTTGTCGCATCTGACACCCGCAGCATCCCAACTCGGAGGTGACCTGGGAAAATGTGTCCGTCTCCTTTGAAAGGGGCGGCTTCCGGAGTCTGCCCTCGCACACGCTCGCAAAGTTCCCTCATGCCGTCAGTTTGTGGGGTTAAAATTGGTAAGAAACCAGTTGGATGTGTTTATTGCAGCTCCACAGTGGATGGTTTGGTTCATCCCAGGACCTCAGTGCGGCTGTCCCGGCTGGTTGGGGACCTGCCGGCTCTCGCCTGTGCTTCTCCACAAGGAGTTAAAAAAACCACCAAGCCATCGCGCATTTGTCACCAAAATCAATAGCGTTGTCGGCACCGCTTTGCAGTAATTACTTTTGCTGTCATGTCAGAGCTCATGTCTCCCCGGGTGGAGGTAAAGCCCTTTCCTGGGGGTGAGAGGAAAGGTGAAACATCCCCCCCAGGGATGCTGATTCCCGCAGAGCCGCAGCTTTGTGGCTGTACCTCTCTCGGCTCTGCTACAAGCGCTTAAAGTGCTTTTGGAGAAGAGGGGGGGACTTCTCATCCAGTGCCTTTTTGCGGAGCAGCTCACCCTACTGATGAGCAAACACTTGCTGTCTCCCGGTGTTTCACAGGCGGCTCTGCTGATAGATGGGGATCTTTTTCCCAAACAAATGCTGTCTGGCAGAGTCACAGAATCTCCTAGATTGGAAAAGACCTGTAAGATCATCCAGTCCAATCGTTAATCTCACACTGCCAACCCACCACTAACCCATGTCCCTGAGCACTGTATCTACACCACCCTTAAACATCTCCAGGGATGGGGACTCCACCACTGCCCTGGGTAACGCGTTCCCGTGCCTGATGACCCTTTCAGTAAAGAAATTCTTCCGAATATCCAGTCTAAACTTCCCTTGGCCCTGCTGCTGTTGAGGATTTGTGCAGAGGAAAGCCATCCTCAGCTCAGCTGCTCTCTGTCCTGCAAACCAGACGTCTCGGCCCTGCAGGGTGACGCCTGCCCGGCATGTCGGGTTTCTGCGCCGTGAGCATCAGCGGCTTCGCCGTCCGCAGGCGGCCCCGCACCCAGCCCTGCCGGCTGCATCCCTCAAAAAAACATTTCTCGGTCCACTTTCCCCTGGTTTCAAAACTCACTTGCTGCTCAGCCCAGGGAATTCTTTAAACCTTATCCCCCTCCCGGCTCTCTCCTTTTCCTGGCCTTGCTGAAATAAATAGTTGGATGCTGCTCCAACATATTTTCCAGTGTGGTGGTTCTTTCCTTTCCTTGCTCCACCCTCTTCGCTGCTGTCTTGTGTTTGGGAAAGACATTAAACCGGTCCAGGAGTAAGCAGCACTTTTTGGGGAGGTGGTTCCAGGCTGGCCGGTGCCTTTGGTTCACCGTCTGCCTCTGGGCACGTCAGAGCCGTGCAGTTGTTGCTGTTGTGAAAGCGGCAATCGTTTTGGGGGTGCAGGGAATGAGACTCCTCTATATCGTAGAGTTAAAAATATACTGGCTTGGATCCCCAAGCTGAGATTTGGGGAAAGAAGAGGACAAGGTCCCGGGCACAGGAGAGCAGGGACATGTCGTACGGCATCCAGGCTGACTGGGATCCCCGGCACGGCTGGGGCAGACCCAGCTCTGCAGAGCTTGTACTGGTTTCCATCCAGAATTGCTGTGGTGTGGGCAATGCTACTGGCCGGTGGTGGGCTTTGTGATCATGGGTGCTGTGGAGACACCACTTGATGCAAAGAGCAGCTCCCACCTGGGATTCTGCATGGCTCTGTCCTCTCCCTGTCAAGGCAGACGCGGGTTTTCGTCCTTGATGCGAACAGAAGAGGAAAGATGCTGCGGTTTTACTGCAAAATGAACTCTGTGCCATTGATGGGGACAGGACAGAGCTGAGCGACGCTGGTGGTGTGCTTTGCAGAAGACCCCTGATGCGTGTCAGCAGCTGGCAAAGCGTCCCCTTCTTATCCCTCTCATCCCTCCGCTCAGTCCCGCTCCAGCCATCTCTGGAGTTGAATTCCCACCTGAGCCGCAACCCTCTCAGAGACTGTAACCTTGTTTTGGGGACCGTTGGCAGGGAGGCTCCGGGTTTGGCGTGCCCCAGCTCTGCGCCTGTCCCGTGTTGGGATATCTCACCTACGCTGTGCTGGCAGCAGGTGCCTCTCCTGTGTTTTGGTCCCTGCCAGACTCGTCCGTCGGGGAGGCCGGGCTCAGTGCAGGGTTTCACGCCTGCAGCTGTTTTGGGGTGATCATCATCTGGATGTCCAGGGCTGCCCTGCATCGCTGGGAGGAGGAGTGATGCCCTGACGCAGGTGCTTCCCCCCCTGCACTCCTAAAGAGATTTGCTGCTCAATCTTCAGCATATCAATATAATAATTTTCCAGTAAAACAGCCGCCCGTCTCCCTAGAGCATCACCTCCGCAGGTGGGGTGACATTTGGTGCAGTGTCCTTGGCCGCTGGCCCCTCCGTGGTGCCTGGACCTACTGGGGTGCCTTATCCCCAGGGCTGGACCAGTGTTTGCTGCCCCAGTGTCCTTTCTTGGGCTCAGAGAGGAGGAAAAAGCCTAAGCTGGGCATCCCTGCCACTCCACGGGGTGGATTTGGGCACGTGGGGCTGAGTGGGGTGATGTGACGGAAAAGAAGTTGTCACCTGTGGCGCGGGGCTCGCTCCCCACCGCTGAGCAAACCCATGGGGTGGGAGATGGTGGCGCTGGTCCCCTTTTGGGAGTTCGCTGCTGGGAGGGGTGTCGGGGAGAGGACACGTGGCTGCACCCCTCGTGCACTGGGTATTCCTCCTCCTGGAGGCTTGGATTCGGAGCAGGGAGTTTGTGTTTTCTTTAGTGAGCTTCAGAAACCCTTTAAATGTTCTCCAATAAAAGAAAGGGCTTCAATGGTGTTTCTTTTGTTCCCTAGCGGCTTGAGTCCAGCAAATGACAGTGGAGCCAAAAAGAAGAAAAAGAAACCCAAACGGAAGAAAGAGAAAGGAGATCAGCCCGACCAGGCTCAGGACCAGTCGGCGAAGGTGACCAACCCCTTCCCAGAGTCGCAGCCCCATCCTGAACCTCTCCAATGTAGCTTAGGGCAAGGAAAGAGTCTCCCAGTTCTGGTTTTAGGCACTTGGCTGCTCAAAAAACGTAAGGTTTAGAGTAATTTCTCCACCTGGCTCCGTGCGTGGGAATTTCCGATGCTGCGGGAGGCGTTTGCGGAGCGCTCCAGGGTAAGCGCGGTCCTTGGTTGGATATCCCATCCAGTTCCAGCGCTGCGGTGAAAGGGTCAGACTGGCGCCTCCGAGTTATTCTTTCCAGACACCAGCTGCCTCCTCGCAGGCAGGGAACCGCCACGCTGCCACCTGCCAGCTTCCTCTGCTGCCCGCAGCCAGCACAAGGAACGCGTTCTCCTACTTCTTGGACAACATCTGATGTTGTTGTTTTTTGCTTGATTAACATAAGAACAGCAGCCGGGTCGCAGCAGGGTCTGTCTTACCCCTTTTGGCTTTACCCGACCCTGACTAGCAGCTGGTGCTTCGTGAAGGAGCATGAGACATGCAAAGTTTGTCCCTCCCAGCGCTGGCAGTCACCCCTCTTGTCCCCTCTGGTCCTGTGGCAGGGGACACACACACAGATCTGCACATCGACAGAGGCTGTTTTTATCCGATGCTGAGTTCCCATCCAAATATTTCTAATGTTTTGTCCTTCTGACCGTGCAGAGCATTAAACTGGGGCTTTGAGTGTTTCAAACTAACCTCACCGGGAATCGGGGAGGAGCTGGGGTTGTGAATTCAGCGCAGAGCTGCCCACCCTGCCAAGGTCTGCCTTGGGAGGAGGAGGAAGAGGAGGAGGAAAGTGTCCTTCATCTTGACTCGGCCTCTCCGCCTTGTCCTGCTCCGCGGTGCCCAGCGTCTCCTCTGGAAGCTGCAGTTTGCAGCTACGGATCTAGCTTCGATGGAGGGGGCTGAAGCAGTGAGAGAGAAAAGCCACCGCAGAAAGCCCGAACGCCGGGTGTGGGCTGAGCCCGGGTGTCTCTGCGTGGGTGTTAGCCAAGGTGGGGCAGGGCGGTTTGCTCTTGGGGCTCACAGCGCCCTCCTTAACCGAAGCTTAAAGCATTTTAAGGCACTTCATCCATCCCCTTCAACCCAGGAGTGCCTGGAAGCCAGGTCTAGGTGCGCGGCAGTTGTCTGGTGAAAGGGTTCATCCATCTCGTAGAGGGTTCCGAGAGGATCTAGGCTGGGAAGCGATTCTTCTCCCTGCTCTCCCCTTCCCGGCAGGGTCAGCCCCAGGTTCTCCTAATGAGGAGCTGAATTACAGACCTGGTGGCTCAGCTGACTCATTTTGTCTTTCCCCTCTCCTTTTCTGCCCTCAGATGAACTCTTTACCTGCTGAGAGGATCCAGGAGATTCAAAAAGCCATCGAGCTCTTCTCTGTAGGTCAGGGCCCTGCCAAAACCCTGGAGGAAGCCAGCAAGAGGAGCTACCAGTTCTGGGACACGCAGCCGGTGCCCAAGCTAGGTACGTACAGCCCCTCGCCGTTCCGTGCTCCCTGGGAGAAGCCTCGTGGTCCCCAGGCGGCTCAAAGAAGCCCAGAGAAGCTGGTCTCTGGCCAGCAAGCAAGTCCCTGGACGGCCCCTCACTGCTGTCCCATCTGGGCTTCAAAGGCATCAATGACACTTGTCCACTGGTCGGCATCATGGACTGAGTGGCCAGCCCTGCTGCTGGAGAGTTGTGCAGACGACTGGGGGCGTCAAGAGGGATGAGAAGCTGTTTCAGACATCCGATTCGATGCCTCCTGCATTTGGGCATCCCTAAATCTCAGTCTTTAGCTCTTGAATTGGGTCTCCTCAGCCCTCTGTGGCCAAGTTCCACGCGGGGTGTTGCCAGCCTTTCACTTGCCAAGTCCCAGGGGACACGGAGCTAACCCGCTCCCCTCTTTCTCGGGGTTGAAGCTTCCCAGCAAGGGGTCCTTGGTGGGGAAGGTAACTTGGGGTGAGACGGGTCCAGCCAGTGATGGGAGCCTCTCGGGGAAGCAGGTCCACGTGCTGAGCAGCCCCATCGTTGCTTGGCTGGGCTCGCATCAGCCTCTGGCACGGGCAGGCGTTGGGGCTGAGCCGGGAGAGGGGAGGCACAAAACTCACGAGCACCTGCACCCCCAAACTGCTGTGCCCATCTGAAGATGGGGAATCCTATCTCTTTGTCCCCTCTGTGTGCCCAGGTGGGCAACAAGGCCAACAGCATCCTGGCCTGTATCAGGAACAGTGTGGTGAGCAGCACTGGGGAAGTGATCATCCCCCTGTACTCGGCCCTGGTGAGGCCCCACCTCGAGTGCTGTGTTCAGTTTTGGGCCCCTCAGGACAAGAAGGACATAGAGGTGTTGGAGTGTGTCCAGAGAAGGGCAACGGAGCTGTGAGGGGTCTGGAGCACACGTCTGGTGAGGAGCGGCTGAGGGCCCTGGGGGTGTTGAGGCTGGAGAAGAGGAGCTGAGGGGAGACCTTCTCGCTCTCTACAGCTCCCTGACAGGAGGGGGTAGCGAGGGGGGGGCTGAGCTCTTCTCCCTGGTGACAAGTGATAGGATGAGAGGAAATGGGTTCAAGCTATGTCAGGTGAGGTTTAGATTGGATATTAGGAAAAAAATTTTCACGGAATTGGTTATGAAACATTGGAATGTTTAATACATCCCCTCCAGGGATTCGCCGTCCCTGGAGGTGTTTAGAAAAAGGGCCGACGTGGTACCTGGGGACATGGTTTAGAAGTGGTTTTGTCAGGGTAGGGTAATGGTTGGACTTGATGATCTGTAAAAGGTTTGACATGATCTTAAGGGTCCCTTCCAACCTCAACAATTCTATGATTCTGTGATTCTCCCGACAAAGAGCCCGTCTGTGCTTCCCAGCTCTAGTCCTTGCTCCCGCCCTTTCTCCACTTTGCTCTTGACACTGTCGATCTGCGTCAAAAGCGATCTGCTGTCGGTAACGAGGCGTTCCTCAGCGTGGCCGGAGCGTTTGGCAGCTGAGCAGGTCTGAAAGGAAGAGGGGCGCGCTGCCGCAGAGCTGCATGGCTGGAAGGCGTTCGTTCCCAAGCTTATTGGAGCAAACTCGCAGCGCGCCCGGGGTGCCCGGCATTGCTTCGCTTAGTCTCTCCACCCCTGCATCGCCCAGCAAAATCCACGCAGAGCTCAGGAGAACTGGAGAATGAGTCCAACCCATAGTTTCTAAATTTACCCAAAGCTTATCATGGCTTCAAATTGGCTACTGTTCGGTAATTTCCTTCCTGGGGTTGTGTCCGACCCCTCTTGCTGCAAACACCGTGTTTGATTCCCTTTTCGTGTTGTCAGCACCGGTCTGAGGCTTTCTTTGGCCTCAAAGACTGTTTGCTGGGAGAGATGGTCTCAGCTTTGTGCTGGGAAGATCATAGCGAGATGGCACGGGGTTCTGTGAGCCAGCAAAGCCTCATCTGGCGTTTGCCTTTTTTCCCTGAGGATCCTGGACACGGCAAACATCATTTCTGCTTTGGTAAACCCCGGAGGAAGGGTGGAAGGTATCTTCTGGGGAAGGAGAGGCACAAACCAGCCCGCAACCAAATTGTTGGCTGCCGGCCACTCGCTGGGTCCCAGCGTCTCTCGTGGTCCTCGCACAGGAGCACGCTCTGGCCCACAGCGTTACGTACATGAGGCTGTTTAGGGTCAGGTAACAAAAGTGCTGTGGGATTTTGGGGGCTGGATTTAAGAACAGTTCAGCATCTGCTCAAAAGAGAGAGGACGGCCAGGGGTGAGCGTTTCTGGAAGCCGCCCTGGGTGGGTGTGATGGGGGCAGTTCTTGCTCTGGGCTTTTCTTCACCTCCCCATTGCCTGGAAACCTTTTCAATCCCTTTTTAAGGGAATTCCTAATTAGTCCGGCTTGCTTCTCTTGGCAGCGCTCAAGTGATGCCGCTGTGTTGACATCCCCGAGAAAGCCAGTGCTTGAACCAACATCTCTTGGCTGAATCGGGGGCTTTAGGAATTAGTGTTTTTTCAACAAAAGTTGTCTTGTTCGCTGCAGCTCTTCTTTAAGCACGGTGGGAAGGAAACCCGGACGCTTGCCAAATGGCAGGGACCAGAGCTGGCAGGGAGAGCGCCGCTATCCGATGGAGCGGCTCTTGGGAAAATGCTGGCTGGCGTTGGGGCTGTGGGGATGGGGAAGGATAAGGCATCGCGTGTGGACCTGGAGGACATAGCTCTGAAGCTCTGATCAGTTTGGTCGCCTCCTCTCCGCTGCCCGATCGACTCTACCGTTTCCCCTGAAAGAGCAGTTTTGGTTCTCTGCCCCTGTGTCGCATTGAACGCATGGCACGTCCCAAACCGGGTGGGTGAAATGAGGATCCCTGGCTGCCCGCACCGGGGACTTGGGGTGGGAGATCACGCTGGGGAAGTGGGGGCACCTTGGTCACCAGATCGAAGTGTCGGGGAGACTTAGCCTCAAACAGCAGAGAGCATCTTCATGGCTCCCTGCTCTCTCTTACAGGAGAAGTGGTGAACACCCACGGTCCCGTTGAGCCAGACAAAGACAATATCCGTCAGGAGCCATACACTTTGCCTCAGGGCTTCACCTGGGACGCCCTGGACCTTGGGGACAGAGGTGTGGTGAGTACAGGCAGCTGGGCACATGTGTGGGAGGGTGTCTCCATTGCACGGTTGGCAGTTCTCTGCTTGGACTGCCAAAGATGGTTTTGGGGATGGGAATATGTCTCTCGCCACACCAAGCAACTCTCCAGCTCAGTGGTCACGCCATCTCCTTGGAGTTAGATGGGTCTGACTTCCCCCACTGCGCACTTACCTCTCACCCATCCCCTGTTGGCCTGATTTCTTCATGGGCATGAACGGGGGCTTCTCCACGTGCTCTTTAAGCATAAGAATGCCTGAAGCCAGGAGTTTTCCCTTAGGAACACCCTCCAGACTGTGATCAACCTCCCTGGGAGATGACCTGAGGGTGGTAGGACTTATCTCCGTGTCCTGCTGCTTACCCTGCTCCGCAGTGGCACCAGTTCAGGAGCCCGGCGCCAGCAGCGCGGAGCAGGGAGATGTGCGGTAGGAGGGACATGGTTGCACACTTCTCCTGTTGTTGTGGCTGCACAAAAAGTGTTGAGGGTCCAGTCTGAGGGCAGCTGGGGCGTGTGATGGCTGGATAACTCTTTTGACCTTCTTGGTCTCTCCTGCTTCAGCTGAAAGAGCTGTACACGCTCCTGAACGAGAACTATGTGGAGGACGATGACAACATGTTCCGGTTCGATTACTCTCCCGAGTTCCTGCTGTGGTGAGTGGCACCGTGACTGCGGAGCAGAGGGTGTTGGATGTTGGCAAGCCTGATGCTGGTGACAGTGCTGCAGCTGCCTTTGCTTATCCCGTCTCACTTCTTTCCGAAATCTCTCTTCCCCATCTGTCACCGTACGCGTGTGCCATGTCCCAGGTACAGTCCGAGAGGGGTTTCTCTCCCAGCCCTGCCTGCCTCTGGCTTCTTCGAGATATGGGAGCCTAAAACCGGATGATTTTCCTCTCTGGTTTCATCCCTCAAGTGTTTGTAAAAATCTTGGTAGCTGAGGAGCTTCCCAGTGCCCCGGAGTGGGGTGAAGGTGGCGGCCAAGTAACGTTGCCAGGAATAACACTTGGAGACCTGTTGCAGCAGAGCTGCTGTTTCCTCAGGGCATTTGTGAATCGAGGAACATGACTTTCCTCCTGTGTCACTAGGAAGAACTTGCCTTGACCATGGAGGGCAGGAATTGCCCTGGATCCCGGTGGTCCTGCCTTGTCACATCACTCTCACCCTCTCATCCTCCCGCCTGCAAACCCCCTGGCGGTGGCGCGGGGTTGGAGCGGGACACGAGGCGTCCCAGGGCTGCATGGGGAGGCGGGAGGCAGGAGCAGGTACACAGGGGACCTTTGACGGGACGTGACTTCTGAAATGTGTCTCCTCTCCAGGGCGCTGCGTCCTCCAGGCTGGTTGCCCCAGTGGCACTGTGGAGTCAGGGTTGTCTCCAGCAAAAAACTGGTTGGATTTATCAGTGCGATTCCAGCCACTATCCACATCTATGACACGTGAGTGCTGCTCGGCTGCTTTGCTCACCCTGCCCCGCGATGGCACGTGGCGCGTCAGAGGAGGTCTGACTAAATTGTCCTCCCTGACCGACTGAGGCAGACCTATGCCGTTGAGCCGTGGAGATGCTTTGCTCCTCGGAGGAGAGGGTGGGAGATATTTAAGGTGGGCGCTGAAGTTCTCTGCCAGGTCATCTTGTAGGTAGCAGCTGTTAAAGCTGTTTTCCTCAACGAGTTAGGTCAGCTTAGAGCTCTGTCTTACAGAAATCCTCCAGAGCTGGATGGAGAGCATTTTCCCTGGGAAAATCTTGGGTAACAGCTTAAAGGAGAGTTCTCCAAACCCAGCCCTTGCCCCTTGGCCTTCCCCAGGGGTTGACTCCTCTTTCTTTTGAAGGGGCTGGAGGTAAATTGCCCAGGGCGTTGGACCGATCCTCCCAGGTCAGGACAGTCGGATCTCATGCTCTGCATTGTTTCTTTCCAAAGAGAGAAGAAGATGGTAGAGATAAACTTCCTGTGTGTCCACAAAAAATTGCGATCGAAACGGGTGGCTCCAGTTCTGATCCGCGAGATCACGCGGCGGGTTCATCTGGAGGGGATCTTTCAGGCTGTTTACACTGCGGGAGTGGTGCTGCCAAAGCCTGTGGGGACTTGCAGGTGAGTGTCGATGGTTCTCCAAAGAGATTTTGGTCTGCAGACATTCCCTTGCCAGGATCACCTGTGTGGCGTGTGTGGGGTTCCCCGGGACAGGAGAGATCAGTTCCAGCCCAGATTTCTCCTCCCCACACTTTCCTTCCAGGATTAAGTCCAGTAGCTTTGCTTAAGCTGCTCATGTATCACAAGACAGGAGACTTTCTGCAGCACAAGCGCTTCAGGCCGCCCTTTTTTTTTCCTCTGTGTGAGCTGCTGGCCTCTTCACGAGCCGGCGTGGTGTTCTCGCTTGCCCTCTCATGGCAGCTACGAGAACCTTGTGCCCATGCGGCCGTCCCGCTGGCCAAGAACAAGTCTCCCACCGCGAGTGTGTTTCTGCAGGTACTGGCACCGGTCCCTGAATCCTCGGAAGCTCATCGAGGTCAAATTTTCCCACCTGAGCAGGAACATGACTATGCAACGTACCATGAAGCTTTACCGGTTGCCCGAGGTGGGTGCCAGCCGGGGCTGTGAGCTCACGAATTGCTCCTCGCTGAGCAAGGGGTGAGGCTGGGAACTGGAGACACAAACATCTTGACCGAGGTCGAGTCCTCTGCCTGGAGAAACTGGGGTTTCTTTCATGTAGTAAATGACTCCGTCAAGCCATTGCGCTTTATTTAATCTTTATTTATTTTTGCCTGGGTACCTGCATTTTAAGGGCAAATTCTTGCAGCTAGAGGACCCCGTGAGCTTTTGTTTCATGGTGAGTCATACCCTGTCCTCCTGGTAAAACAAGAACACAGATATGACAGCCTTCATCTGTCCAAACACAGCCTCGGAGTGACCTTGAATTGGGTTAGTCCCTCATTCTTCAGTCAAACTGATCAGTTCTGTCACTGCAGTTGTCCTGCTGGGGAACTTCCCCAGCTGGATATGGGAGAAGAAACACAAACAAAGCATTAAAATTGCCACCACCTTCCCCGACCTTGTTGGCTTCCTTCTGTCGGTGAGAGCTGCTCGTTTCGGTTAGAGAGCACTGTTTTAGTGCTGGGCAGCACATGGCTCCTGTCTTCTGCCTCCTGCCTCAGCAAAGGCACCAGCTGCTCGTCTGTGGCTACCGATTTTGGCGCAGAACCCCAAACCCCGAAGCAGTCCGTGCTGCGTGATCTGGGCTTTGCCGAGCGACCCCCAACCCTAGATTAGAAATCAAGTCTGACTGGAAATAACGTCAAGTGGTTCCTTGAGGTTCCTTGTGGTGCTCGGGGCACGTCTCCAGCCCATCCCCACCGCGCGTGGGAGCAGAGACCCGGAGGGAAGCAGATACCTTGTGTCGTTAGCGGGTAGGAGGCCACTTCCAGCACGACTTGACCTGGCACGTGGGGCTTTGGGACCTGCTGTGCTTCTCAGCGGTTCTTTGTCATCGGTGTCACGGCCGATCGCGTCCATCCTTACGCCAGGCAAGCGGGGCTGGGAGGGAGAGTGCTGGATTGTGGGGTTGAAAATGGGCCGATCTGAGCAGTGAGCGTCTCCGTGCCGCTTGTCGGAGTGCCCTTGGGTGATAAAAGCCACCGTGGCAGCAACGCAAATGATTTGTCCCGCTTTCTGTAGACTCCCAAGACTCCTGGCTTGCGGCCAATGGAGCACAGAGATATCTCCGCAGTGCACAAGCTCTTGACCGAGTACCTGAAGCAGTTCAACCTGACGCCCGTCATGAGCCGAGAGGAGGTGGAGCACTGGTTCTTACCTCAGGAGAACATCATCGACACCTTTGTGGTTGAGGTGAGGGGGCAGGAGCGAGACGAGGGGGTGTTTTCTTGGGCTTCTGTCTCCACTGGAAGAGTGTGCGACGAGCTGCGGGCGCGATCGGGCGGGTTTCTGCCCCAGGCAGTGAGATGCTCTTCCAGGGTGGGAGGTTTGAGCTGTGGGAGGATGGTGCCTCCATCCTGGGCTGCCCCAAGTCTCCTCAGAGGGAGCCCACACACTATTCAGACTGGCAAAGCCCCTCTAAGGCTCCAGACGGGTTCTATCCTGGCTCTGACATGTTGCGGTGTCACTTCTGGCTTCCAGAGCACCCCAGGGGAGGTGACAGACTTCCTGAGCTTCTACACGCTGCCCTCCACCATCATGAACCATCCGACTCACAAGAGCCTGAAAGCTGCTTACTCCTTCTACAATGTTCACACCAAGACGCCTCTCATCGACCTCATGGGTGATGCTCTCATACTCGCCAAGTCGGTGAGTGCTGACAGGGGCCGAGGCGGCACCGCCGGGCAGCTCGCCGCTTGCCTGGCCGCCCTTGGGTTTACGGGGAGGGCTGGCCATGGGGCAGGGCTTGTACCCAGCGCCGTATAAATCCAAATCCTAAAGGATCTGCCACCCGCGGGAGGGACGCAGGGGTAGGCTGAACCTTCTGGCTAGCGTTGAGCTGAGCTCAGGGTGTCTACTCGTTTCTTACAGCGAACTATATTGCCCTGTGTCCGTAGCACGTGGACTGAGGGTGGGTATGCCGCTGCCAAGTTCTTCCCCATCGGCCTCACTCCCTTCTTCTGGGGGTGCACAGCTGGGCGGGAGGGGGGGCAGGCAGCTCACGGGTGGGATGAACTCGGCACGTAAGCAGGAGGAGCTCATGGCTTCGTGTCTTGCCCCTGCAGAAAGGATTCGACGTCTTCAATGCACTGGATCTCATGGAAAACAAAACCTTCCTGGAGAAGCTGAAGTTTGGGATTGGGGATGGCAACCTGCAGTATTACCTGTACAATTGGAAGTGTCCCAGCATGGCACCAGAGAAGGTCAGTGCCTTGGGGTGGTGGGGTCCTCCAGCCTACGGGAAGCGGTCTTGTCCCCGTAGCTCGGGGAGACGAGTGTGCCGTCACACACGCCGCGGCGTTCCCAGGCCAGCGGGACACACCGTAATGGGTGAAGGCAGCGACGGCTCCTCTGTGCTCTTCCCGCTGTGCCCGCACGGAGGGTGTCGCTGGGGAAAAGCGCTCGCCACTTGTCTCCCCGGGCTCATTTTACTCTTGGACTAGTGCAGGTTCAGAGTCCTTAACCTCACGCACATCCGCATGGACGACCTCTTGCCTCTGTGGAAGGAGGGCCGGGTACAGAGAGGAGACGGGCTGAGGGCTGCAGGGTGACAGATGGGACACCGGTGTGGACAGTCTTAGTGTGATCTTGACACAGGTAGTCTTGGGATCTTGACGGTCTTGGGATCTTGACGCAGGTACGGACAGTCACTTGTCCCTGCCTGGGAGGTGTTTGCTGTACCCTGTGAGCCCGCACAGGACCCGGGTGTCACCGCACAGCCCGTGCGTCAGTCTGTCGTGGTGGGGTGAGACAAACAAGAGCCCCTCTAGAGAGAACAGGAGCGTGAGAGCCATTGGGTCGCTGTTGAGCAGCACCCGGTGACGACGGGGAGCTCTGCCAGCGCGGTGACTCGTAGCATGTGCTGAGGGGCTGAGCCACAGGGTCTCAGGGCTGTCACCATGTCCCCATGGCCACCAGCTCACTCCCCACCCAGTGGGTCTGAGCACTTAGTAGATAGTAAATTGTCCATGAGGCAGCAGTGTGCCCTTGTTGCCAAAAAGGCCAATGGAATCCTGGGCTGCATAGGGAAGAGGGTGACCAGTAGGTCGAGGGAGGTCATTCTCCCCCTCTACTCGGCACTGGTGAGGCCACAACTGGAATACTGTGTCCAGTTTTGGGCTCCCCAGTTCAAGAGGGACAGGGAACTGCTGGAGAGAGTCCAGCGTAGGGTAACCAAGATGATGGAGGGATTGGAGCATCTCCCGTATGAGGAAAGGCTGAGAGCGCTGCGACTCTCCAGCCTGGAGAAGAGAAGGCTGAGGGGAGACCTTATTGTGGCGTACAAGTCCCTAAAGGGTGGGTTGAAGGAGGATGGAGCCACACTCTTCTCGGTGGTTCCCAGTGACAGGACGAGGGGCGATGGGCACAAGTTGGAACAGAGGAAGTTCCGTTCCAACACACGGAAGAACTTCTTTACGGTTGGGGTGACAGAGCACTGCCCAGGCTGCCCAGGGGGTGGGGGAGTCCCCTTCTCTGGAGATGTTCAGGACCCGCCGGGATGCAGTCCTGAGCGATGTGCTCTGGGCAGTCCTGCTTTAGCGGGGGAGTGGGACTGGGCGATCTCTAGAGGGCCCTTCCGACTCTGAAAATTCTGTGATTCTGTGACTTGCGGCTGCGCCTGTAGACAGCCCGTCCCTGCCCTGGGCCGTTTTTAGGGAGCACCTGGTTGCTACCGTGTCTCCACCCTGAAGATGTGGTTTAGCATCCCTCTGCTCCGCAGCCGCCTTGGAGAAGACGGTGCCTGAGAAGCAGCAGCCGCTTGGCTGCGCAGCGCTGCAGCCTGCCCGTGCTACGTTGCGACAGCTAATTAATACCTTAGCGGCACTAACGGGGCTTTGGGTCCCCGTCGCAGAGCGTGTGAAGCCAAGTCTCTGGGGGCACAAGCCCACATGCCTGAAACCAGCCTTGCTGTGCCACTGAGCCTTTCAAAAAGCTCCAGGAGGTTGCTGGGAGGTTTAAGCAATCTCGCTGGGAGAACTGGTGGGTCGGAGAGCCTGGTGCTGGGAGCTGCTCTCTGGCCGTACCCTGCGGTGGGACCGCCCGTGGTCGCAGCCTGGTACGAGCCACCAGCGTGTCATGTCCCACAGCGGCCAGGAGCTCCCAGCAGTGCCGGCTGCCTGCAGAGGGGCCTGTCCCAGTACCAGGCTCTCGGGAAGCAGCTTCTCCCAAATCTCTTGTTATTTAGCTTAGAAGCAACCTTGGTTCATAAATTGAGGCTGTCTTGCAGACTGACAAAGTGGGGCTTGTCACACCCCAAACACCGGTCACCACCCCGGATCGGAGCTGGGCAGGGTCCGTGCGCCCGTTTGGGCTCTCTCTGCTCTCAAATATCCCAAAGCCGGTGGGGAAACCCGCACGGACAACTCTGAGCCTTCCTGGCCGGCGTGACGAGGGCTTGTGAGCTGCGTCCGCTCAGAGCCGCGTCTGGGGCAGAGGACGCTGCGCTCAGACACATCCTGACCTGCCGTCTCCATTGGCTCCCGCAGGTCGGACTGGTGTTGCAGTAAGCGAGCCCTTGCCAGGAGAGCCGGGCCCGGCGGAGCTGCTGCCCTCGTCCTTTCTGCCGAAGCCGGACCCGCACCGGGAGAGGTGGAACCGAACCAGCCGCGCAGCCACGCGCCGCCTGGATTCACCGACCGCATCCCGCAGCGCCGGCCGCCGCTCCCCCGCTGGCGTCAGCGGGCTCCTTTGGTTTGATTTAATTGCATCCTCGTAAAGACGTGATCAAGGGAATGTAACTGCTGAAACTAGCTCATGATTGGCATATAATGGAGTTAACGGGTGAATAATAAAAGTATATATTATATATATTTTAAATCTTTCCTGTTCCAAACTGACACAAGTTGCATTCGTCTGCTGAAGGCCACCTCCAGCTCGCTGGACCGTGACTTTTCTCGACGGGGCCGACCGAGGTAGATGCTTGCTGCGCCGACCGGCTCGGGAGCGCCGGGATGCAGTGGCCGGGCTGCCGAGCCTTCCCGCCTGCCTGGAGGGTGTTTTGGGCTCTGTCCCCTGCTCGGCTCTTTGCCCCTGGTTTGCTCCTCTCCTCCGTTAAACTCGGTCCTTCCCACGGGTGCCTGGAGAGGGAGGATGGCACCGTCCCTCCCCGCGGGCTTGGGAGCACGTCAAAATTTCTTTCTAAGGGCTATTTGTGCGAGCGATGCCTTGTCCCTTCTCCTCCCCAGCCTCGGAGACTCGAACCCTCTCTGCTCAACGGGGCGAACGCTGAACCGAGGAGCAGCAACGCCCGAAGATTCGGGGGGGACTCGGCTCCTCTCTGCTGCCGGAGCTCATCTGGTGCACCCCGCTCTGCTCAGACTCCTCAGGGTCGTTCCTCTCCACCGGGGCTGCGGGCATCGGGGGGATGATCTGTTGCCACTGCTGCACCTCGGGGTTCTCTGCTCGGCTGTTTTTCTCCGGAAGCGTGGAAATACGGATGCACACGCAAGCGACTACCCTGCGCCACGCCATCGACATCGCTCCGGGGCTTCAGCCTCTCCGGCCACCCCGGTGCCTCTTCCACCAGGCTCATCACCTTGTGCTACGGGAACCTCCGAGGTAAAGGAATTGTTTTCTTTCATGGAAAACCTTTATCCCATCGAGATGTCTTGGGAAACGAGCGCCCGGGCAGCCTGCCGCCTCCTGCTGTGACATGATCCGTGTCCACGAAGAGCTCCGAGATGCTCCTGCCCTCCCAGCCAAAGGTTTCCAAAGCTGCACGCCAAGGCCAAGACCCCGTCTATGCACTCCCACGCCTCCCTGTCCCTCTGTGCCCCCATCGTGCCCTGTGGCACACCGCGGACCCCGCGGGGCTTTGCCCACCCTGGCTTGGACCCGCAGGGCAT